AAAATGTTGGTAGTTAAAGCTAGACAGGATTAATGGCCGTAGAGACATAGTATAGTACGTTATCCTCAGCGCAAGATATAAGTGGACGCCACACCCGCATAGGTATGTGTTGTCTCCGTCTTGCAAACGAGTACCTAAAATACCAAATTTACTCTCAGATATTCACGTTTTATGCCGTTAGCTTAAAAATTAGAGTGAATCAACATATTATGAAACTTGACGGTAAGAACATTATCTGTGTTTTGTTGGAAGTTTTTTTTACTATAATTCAGTTTTTAAGTGAGTTATGAGCATTTTTAATTTACATTTATTATACACGCATAACTCACTTGAAAACGGAATTATCATAAAAAAACTTCCAACAAAACACAGATAATGTTCTTACCATTGACTATTGAGTTTCATAATAGGTCGATTCACTCAACTTGTAAGCTAACGGAGTACAACTTGAACTGCTGAGCTTAAATTTTTTATGTTACGCGTTTGTAAGACGGAGACAATTGTCTCATGTGTTAACACATGCGGTTGTGGCGTCCTGTTAATAATGTAATGCCCCAGAGACGATATTTCCATTAAACAATTATATTAGTATAAAAAAGTAGAAGAAACCTATATTTAATTATATTTTATTTTTAGTAAAATATAAAGTACCTACTTGCAGGAGGCTGACACGCAGTCTCCACTTAAAATCGTTTGCTTATTTTAATAGACCCCCCCCCCATGGGATTTAACTGAAGACGCCTGCTAATCGTACCCCTGACTTCTCTCTCTAAGCGCTGTCCATTAGTTCATAGGTCTATGGACTACGGAGTCAAGTGCATCTCGTTATTGAGTAAATCACTATAATGGATGATTTAATATGATTTCAATGATAAACTATTACCTTTATGAAAAACGATTCTGAACGAAGTACTGAGACGATCTATAGGTATCACCTTATATTACAAAAATTAATTTTATTATATAATACCTAGCTCATAGTTGTCCCGCCCGACGTTGTCCAGGTCAAAGATTTATATTTTTAATAAATATATTTGTACAAAATGTACATACCATATATTTTCTTCTAATTATAGTATTAATATAATATGTAACAAATTGCAACCATTCAGATTGACAAAAAAAAATGTATTTTTTCGTTTGCTAAAAAAAATCATGTGTGAGCTATACGCTTAACCTATATGAGTTGAAAAATCAAGTTGTATACACCCTCCAATTTTCAAATAATAATCTATTGAAATAACTTTGTGAAGATTAAGATTGATTAGGTATTATTTTTTTTTAATTTGAATGTTTTCTATTTGTTTGTGTCCATAGCAACCATTAATAAACAAAAATGTCCATCGTAAATCTCAAAATTCTTGTTTGAGCACGTCCCAGGGTGTTTTTCTTCTTATTATGCATAATATTATATATACATATAAACCTTCATCTTGAATCACTCTATCAATTAAAAATAACCGCACCAAAATCTGTTTCGTAGTTTTAAATATCTAAGCATATAGAGAGAAAAATGGACTTTGTTTTATAATATATTAAGATTTATTATTATAGTAATTTATTTTACTAAAACTGAATAGGCATTAGCTTAAAATTAATCTAAATATTTTGAAAATATCAAACATTTGGTGACAGGCACGAGATACAACCTACCGCCCTTGCCCCTTGCTGTCTATTATTTAAATTATTAAATTAATAATTTATTCTATTACAATAATAATTTTGTTTTATTGCCATTATTTATCTTTATCATAAAAGTTTACCTCTTCGTCGACAAATAGGCTTTCCTCTTCAGAATATCCATCCGCCTGCTTAACGGAACTGTGGATCCATAAATTCACTTTATCTGCTACATCTTTTGGACATTTGGACTCAGAAAAAGCATCTTCATTTAAATCATTAACGACTGCTTCCTTTTGCACAATTGCTATATCGTTGTCAGCTATATAATTATTTCCATCATTAGCTTTTTCATTTTCTACATCATTATCCTCCTCCTCCTCAGCATAGTTCTCTTCAATGGTATTTTCTTCAGTATTAATAGCTGTACTTATAGTAGTTCCGGTTGCTTTTTTTTGATTGTCCGTCAACACGGAATTACCAACAAGTGTGAATCGCAATCCTGTACTGACATTGAACAGACGTGGTTTCTTTTTCTTTATCTTACATTTTTCAAACACGTTCCGAAATCCTTGGAACTTCTTTTCGATATCCTCAACCGTGTCTTCTTCCAGTATACGACCATCACCTATTTTGGCACCGACTTCGTCTGCATGCATAGAAGGAACGTACGATTCTTTTATATTAGCTCTCTGACATTGTTTTTGACGTTGGTCATTCGATCGGTAGAAAACGCGGAACAACGATTTTTGCTCACGATTACGGACATTGCCTGAAGCTGAACGTACATCGTACACACAGTTCGGTTTCGGATGATTTATGCCAAGTAACTTTGTCACATAATACTTACAAGTGGCCGCCGTATCCATTGCAAGTATACACTATTATACAAACACATTGTCGATTACTAAATTTCTTATATCATTAACACAATTAATAATATATAAAACTACTCCTATTGTCGTTAACACGAAAGCATAGTGCACACACAAACACACACATACTAAATTAAATGTGTGGTATGTTTGGTGGATAAGGCATCGTACGAACATTTGTGCAAACAATTAATGCGCAATGAGGGGACATAAATAATCGCACAATTACACCAGTTTTTAATGTATACACTTCGAAGGTTAAAAAGATATTTCACTTTTAGCCTAGTATAATCGAAATATATTTTATATAATATAATATTATAGATTTTTCAGATTTTTCAGAAATTAATACATAGGCGTAGGGTGATAACATATATCAGGGGGCTGCAAAAACAATTAATAATAATAAAAAAAAAAACAATATAAACTTAATGAAAATAAGACTTTCTGGGGGGGGGCTAATATTTACACTGGGGGGAGGGGGATGCCTAAATAAATACAAGGCTCAAACAATTTATTTTGTTTAAAACATCTTAAACATCGTTTTTAACAAAAAATACAGTTAAAACAAAAAAAAGTGGGCAAGTGGATGTCGCTCTTCTGTACAGTAGGTTACAAGTGGGTCACTGTATAATGGATGGTATTAAATTTGAATTCAATGATATAATATCATTGTATAAGAAAAACGATTCTGAGCGGAGATGGTATGTCAGTGTAGGTATAAGACATATTATATATATATCTATGGTATTAAAAAAAAATTGACCTATAATAAATTCCAAATTAATCAAATAACAATATCCATTAGGTACTTATAACGCGTTATACGTCAGTTACAAACCGTGATACTATCATAGATATATAGCAGTATACTTTAGAAGTTTTAAGTAGGTACCCACGAATAATATTATTCAATCGCAACAAAATAACTAAAATAGTTATTCTAGGTTTTTTATTATGTAATTTCGTCCAAATTTGAACTTAAAATGAATATAAAAATAAAATTTGCTTATGTATTTTTTAGATTTTTTGGTAACAGAATTAACTAGGTACTTACATGAAATCTTGTTTTAAATTTTCAAACCTCAGATATAAAAGTTATACATTATATAAATTTTTAACTACAAAATAATTATTCAATTTTAATATTGATAAATTTTGTCAAAATTTGATCTTTAAATGCTTATAAAAAAAATATGTCTATGTATTTTTAATATTTTTCAACTAATATTGTAACAATATATCAATATATACAATATATACAGCCTTGTATTAAATTTTTACACATTTTGGCCCAACAGATAAAACTTTATTGATATTTATAGAAAAAGAAAAAAAAAATTGAAAACTGACAATGCCCGTAAACAGCATAAAAAGAGTAATATTTTGAAAATTTTATCAAGTATAAGATTTGATAATATAAACATTCAGTGAAATTTTCATGTATCTTCAGTTATTCGTTTTTGAAGTACAAAAAAATAAGAAAATAGTTACATGAGAAATCGAGTGAATAACAAATTTTGTAAAAATATGAATTTCAAATGCTCATAAAAATTTAATTTAATTTCCGGTAGGCATTTTTTTTTTTTTGAGAAAGGTAGATAATCTTATATTACATTTTAAAATCTTAGATTTAAAAGGAAAAATTTTTAGGAATTTCTTAACTCAAAATAATTTGTCAATTTTCGTAATTTTTCCATATTTTGTCAATTTTTGAACTTATGCTTATAAACTGTGACTAAGGATTTTTAATGATTTTCATCTGCCTTTGAAAAAATATACTAGGATCCTTCTATTAAATTTTCAACCTTTTTTAAAAAACAAATAACATTTTATTGATTTTTCTAGAAAAAAAACTAAAAAAAAATGGAAAATGAAAATGTTCCTAAGCAGTTCAGACACAAAAATTAAAAATAAAAAAATAAAAAAACACACATCATTTTAAAATCAATACATTCATCGTTCCACTCAAATTCTAAAATATTTTCAATACTTATTGAACAGTATACAATTATTTATTTCAGTAAAAAAAAACAAAAATATGTATAGAAAATAGTATAAAATGGACGGATTTGGTTACTTAGAAATAATATATCAATAAACAAAATTATATAATAAAAGATCAAACATAATTGGAAGGATATAAAAATTAAATGTTTGTTATCTTAAGTTATACCCTTAAACTTGAATAATTTAATTAATAGTTTATCATTATACAACTATTCGGTAAGTGCTATAATTATTATAAATTGTTAAACAACAATCTATTATCACAATATTGTTCTTCTAGTTAAAATAATTAAATATAAATTATATAAATGAAAGTAAATGTACATAAATTTTACAATATGATTGAAAACAAAAATATTTCCAAAAAAAATATTAATAACAATATTTTAAATTATTTGTAAATAATAAAACCAAAAACCTAAATCAATGTTTGATTTTTAGTACAAATAATGAACATGAATCTTTTGCATTAAATTAATGTTAATACAAGAATATTCATTGATCAATATCACGAACAAAAAAAAAAAAAATACTTATCAGCACTATAAGCAAATTGGAAGATGTAGACATGTTAGTTGAGTTACACCAATGATCAAAATAACAAAAGCACCAGGTAGTTGATCGTAATAGTCTCTGTAAATATTTATAATAATTAAAATGTAATTCTTCTTTCTTCATGTTTATTTAATAAATATACCGTTTAATATCCAATTTAGGTATTGAATTATTCACATAGTGTCCTAGCTTAACATCCAAAGAACTTATTCTGCAACCCTCATACTTGTCGGCTGGAATATCATTTTGAATACCTTCTAATGAACTCAAACAATCACGAGTAATACGTTCTTCAGCTAAAAAAATTTAAATAAAAGTTAATATAATATAATAATTATTATATTAATTACTTATTATTAAAATTAAATGGTATATAGATATTGCTTAATAAATATTAAGAGTATGTTAACTCAATATTGGTTTTCTCTCTTAGATTCAGGCTTGACTCAGTTTCAAAGAATAAAATTGTAGTGTAAACATAATATAAAACAACAATATAAATAATTTAAATATTAAAATTTCAGAATTGTGCATTTCAATAAGAGTTATTATTGATTACTTAATCCTAATGATTAATAAAAAATTATTTAATAACATTTTCAAAATAATATATATTTTAATAATCCAGAATATTATATTGCTATGTTTAGTAAAAGTAAAAATAATATGTGATTATTTTTTAACCAAACTTTTTTATCTCTAGAAATTTATATTAATGGTGTTTACATATTCAATACCAGTATTCATATTATAAACTTTAAATAATATCTTATAGTATCTTGGTCGTTCTTACAATGTCCGGTTAAAGTTAACGGGCACTTAAACGGTGGAATTCAGCCGGTAATAAAATCTGTTATCAGCCTTTTAGCGTTAACCGACACTTGGTATATCATGATTGTTAGTTAGTTTATTGAATATTATTAAAATTTAAGAGGATATCAGCAGTCACTATAGTATTTATTTTCTCTCCGACCCACGCGAAAGTGCCATAAAAAAAAAATAGTAATACACGGCGTCTGATAGGATTACACATTTTTTGTTGAAAAAATACCCCTTAAGTTACATAATATTGGCAATATTGTGTTTATAAGCACAATTAATGTTCTTTGGAGATGCATTAAGTAACAAAAAAAATAATAGTATTAAATAATAATGCCATCTTACATTTGCTAAGCATAAATGCCATTAATATTTTCATAGATAAGGCACATTTTGCTATTTTGGCATATTTCCATGTTATAGACAAATTACGGTATTATTCCTTAGCATTTCTACCTTTTTTTCTGAACTAACAACATTGTATGTAAAAATTTGTAAAATTCTATTTTATAATATTAATAATTATTATATTTTTATGTCATATCTTTATTATATTAAGACATTTTATTCTAGCAAATAAATTTAGAAGCAATTTATAATTATTAAGCAATATTGTCATACATTTTACCAACTTATGTGTAATTATATTACTTATATTGTTAAGTAATAACATAAAATTAACTTTTATTTGTGTAATAAGTGAATAATACTTGTTTATTATTTTTTGATTGCATTCCTTGCCAAAAAAATAAAGGTGTTCGGTAAAATATATTTTATACTAAATCAAACAGAATAACAAATAACAGAGGTATATTAAATGAAAAATGCAAACATGCATTTTCCTTTAAACAGTCTAAACTAATAATATTGGTTTTTATGGCACTTTTGCTTATTAGGGTATAATTATGGTGACCAGGCATATTTTTTTTTAAAAAGTACATACTAAAAATTAGATCCTCTATCTATTTACTATTCTAACCGTTTAACCCATGTCATAGCCCATTGGTCATCTTCTTAAATTGTTTTTTTTTCATCTGATTACTCTATTTTTTTTATTATAATAATCAAGTATCAAATATAAAACCCATTATTTTAAATTATAATGTCAACTCATTTAGTTTTTATGATGAAAATAATTTGAAATTTAAGTAATTTAAAGTAAACTTAAACTAAAGTATAAATTATTTTTTAAGGTAAAAATATCAAGTGTAAAATTTAAATAAAAAATACAAAACTTTATTAATACCTATGTTATTTTATGAATTCTATGAATTTTTATCTTCAGTAATGTCATAGTCACCATCACTGATAAAACAAAACAGATAACAAATTTTAACTAGTATAACATACAGTACATGGTACATTAGACTAGTGCCAAAGTTTTATTGTACAAGTGGAATATAAAGTAAAATAATCAATAACATACTCAAATGATATCTTAAACCCTCAGAAATATTATTTACTCATGTCCTCTGCACTCTGTCTGTCTTTAATTGAATTTAATTTTAATTTGTATTCTTTTACTAAACTTCAATTGTTCTTATTGTTCTTACTGTAACAGATTGAATAAAAAACACATGAATCAAAAAAAAAAAAAGAAATATTATAGGTACTCTATAATTTTGGTTACAGGTGATTTTACTCTAAAATTACTCAAGTCAGGAACAGAAAATTCTGAAATCATTTTAACAGAGCTTAATTTCAAATAATAACTTATTCATCACAATATATTTTTAAAAAAAAATTCTAAAAATGTACCTAATAGGTATTATTCATTTACTATGCAAAATTAAAAATATTTTGATGTTTACTTAATAATTTGTATTGAAATTAATAAAGACAAAGTCAAAAATTTAACGAAATATTAATAAAATGTTGTTATGTATGATACAAATAATTACCTTCAACTTTCTCAATGATTTTTACACATAAATCATCAATAATCTTCTTCAGGACAAGAAATTGTTTTATGCCACAACGCCCACAACAACTAAAGTGGTGTGCCACAACCTGGATGTGTTGAAGCACATTGGTAGCATAATAATGAAGATTGAGCTATAAAATAACAATAAATAGATAAATTTAGTTATATCTCCAAGGATTACTACATATACTATTATAATACTATAACATAATACATAAGACATTAAAACATCAAAACATATAATATAAGATAGTACAATAGAAAATACCACAGAGCCACTACCTGTAGAGTAGTACTCACCATGTACGAATATTGTAGAAAATATAGGTAATTAATGAAAGAAAAGTTTTTCATTTTGTTATATTTATTATGAAGATACAATACAAAGCTATTTGTTTTACTGTTTCACTTTAATAAATATTTACTGTTCGAAGGAAGGTACAACATTTTAAATTAATTAGTTAAAAATAATAACTTACTTAACTTACTGCTGACTGCTATGTAGTAATCTATTATCTCAGATAACCAAAAACTAAACTTCAAATAATAAAACCGACAAGAACAATACTGAATACAGATATACAGTCGTGTTTTGTACACTCCGACTGCGGGTGAACCATTGAATTGAACTATATAATAAATTAATAACTATAATATATAATAAATTAATAGTACCACGATTTATGATTGTATGGTTGCCCAACGAGCTATGATAAGGCGGCATTGGATTTAAATCGTTATCTCTAGCGCTTCTTGTTCCATGCTCTAACCGGCGTAGTAGAAGGATTACGTAGGTACTCATGTTTTTTGGAAAATATATGCATTATTTTGAACCATCTTTAGATTTTAATGTTTTATAGCTTGTACGATAACGCATTTATACATGTGCGATGTGCAAGTATATTTCATAAACATGCTATTCTTAAGAAACAAATTTGAGTAGGTACCTATAACGGAATACGGATAGGTACGTCGATACCTACTTCGGTACAAAACGATCGTTCAAGAAAACACATGTGTGTTATTATATCGAATAGTAACGGGCTTAGACTTGCTGTGAACAAAGATATATAAAATAATTATAGATATAGACGTATAGTGTTAACGGATTGTATAATTTAAAGATATACACAAAAATAAAAATAATATTTATGAAATATGCACATGTATAAATGCGTAATAGTACAAGCTATAAAATCTAAAGAGGGTCATGGTTCTATATAATGCATATATTTTCCAAAAAACTCAATAAACATAAATAATTCATATACTATACACGGGTTAAAGTAGCAGGGCAGCCTGCTACTAATTTCGGTATGTTTTTTCATGCGAACGGCCGTACGAGTTTGTTATCTTTATTCTAGTCTTCATGGAAACGAGCTTAGGCGGAAATTTTAATTATATACAGTCTTATTGTTAAGAATATTTTTCAAATGTATTCAGAATACATATTTAAGTATAAAATATACAAATACATTTTAATAGTATTCAAAATACTTTACAAGTAAATACTATTTTGTAATACCTACCTAGTACCTACCTATATTAAAACGTTTTTACGTTCATCACAAATGTATACTAAAAATTATTAATAAATATTTAAATAAAATAATCAATAAATACATTCTATAATTGGTTCAACAATTTCAGAATTTCAGATGTCATACCGACCATACCGTTGATGTTATCAATTTTAACTTCAGCAAAGTAGATATTATGGTTTTTATAGGTATTGTCAAGGTGGATATATCCACCTGTGTCATCAGTCATCAGTCATACGCGTATCCAATAACATTTTAAAAATTCTTAGAACTATATGGATCATTTTAAGACCAACTTTTAATAATTGTATTATACGAAACAAAAATATTGTACATTGAAATTCGCCACTCTAAAAAAAAAATTATGGTCACTAGGTTAATACATTATTATATAGTACACATTATTGTCTATCTTTTTTGTTATGGGTGATTTTACTCTAAGATTACTTAACAACATAGAAAAAAAATTCTGCGTAAATTCGTTTTGTCTATGTTGCAAGTGGGCCAGAGAGAGAAAACAAATAGTGCCCTGACTACATAATTTAAATCAAACAAATTGAAAAAAGGGTGTCAAGTAAAAATAAATATACCACTGATTTTACCCACCTTCTTAACTCGTTGAAATACGTACCCATATGTATATGTTTAAAAAAAAAATGCTGGATGTAGCTAAAGTGAATATATGCTATATGAAATAGTGTTGTTTTTTATGTAAAAATATTACGAACATTAATTTTGAGGACTAAAAAAAGTCTTGCCATCAGTATGGATTACTATGGAGTAGGTATACAGAATACAAGCCTTAATATTAGCACCCCCATAAAAATATCCTAGATCCGCTACTATGTATGAATAATGAATAGGTAAGTGGTACCTATGAAGTATGAGCTCTTATTTTAATGAACCGATGTATAGGAACCAATGTATAAAAAATATATAGGTAGTCTGTGCTGTACTACGCAGTGTGAATAGTTCATTTATAAACATGATAATGTAGAATGTTTTGTTTATAATTCCATCAACAATGTTAGAACCAATTGTATTTTTATTACCTAATTAAAATAATGTACAGGAAAATATTGCTACAAAATAGTTCTTACCAATTTGACACTTTAAAATGTTTGTATGTATTAAATCTATTTCAGTTTTAGACAACACCAAAGAGACAAAATAAGAATAAACTGACAAAGTGATAAGCAATCAAGTTAAAAGAGATTTGTTGCATATAAATGTATTTGTGTATTAAGGTTATCGATTAAAGAAAGATCAAACTTGGCCACAATGTAGATATCAATACTTGGATAGGCAGAATGTTTTTGAAGGGGGTCTGGGACTATACTATATGCCCTTTTTAGTTTTTTCACAGTTAGGTTTCTGTTGGATTACTATAAACAAATTAACTTACAATCATTGTCCTGTTGGTTGCCACTTTCATTTTGTTCAATGTTTACCATTTGATCATCTAGATTGATTCGAGGTTATTTACAACAAGCAAGTGATTTTTTTTTTCAGTAAATAAGCATTAAGCAATGTATTAAAATTATGGATCTTTTTTATTAAAATTATTATAATACTTCAATAACTTAATATAAAACAATATATTATATAAACAATATAATATATACATATTTTAACACTAAAAGTTTATTCAAACCTTCAAACCTTTTTCAATATCAAACAAAAATTAATTTTCTCTTATGAAATAAATATAACAAATTGTATCTTTAGGTAAATCTTCATGTAACTCAATATGTAAAATAATATTTTTTTTAACTATTCAATTGTTCAATTGAGAAGTTTCCTTTTATTTTAGTTTAAATTTCATTACTTCGACTAATTATAATACCGTTTCAATATTTAAAAAAAATCTTGTGTATAAAAATATATGGAATCTGTATCTGTTTTACTTTCTGCTTACAGAATTAAAGAATGGAATTAAATAATCATCAATACTAATTACATTCATAGTCAGTAGTCATTTTTAATTTATTTTTTTAATTTATTGTAAGTGTTATAAAAATGTCGTTTTTATCAGCTTTTAATATTGATTCTAATTCTTCTATTGAATAAATACTAATAGGTAGGTATTTTATAATTATTACTTGAATTTTCATCATCTTTATGTATTATAATTTGACATTCTTTCTCTATATTAATATATTTTTCATTGGAAGTAGGAACATACATTGTTGATTTATTAATAAGTAATGAAAAATCAATTGTTATGTTTGAAAGCCAAACATTTTTTTTAACTTTCATCTAAATTATAATAACAAGGAGATTTTATTTCAATTTCTTTATTAACTTAAGATAACACTATAGGGTTAAATAGTTTGTTTAATTCTGTAATACTATATATTGTCCTTTTTTTATTTGTATAAATTTATCAAGAATTTGTATTTTACAATCTGTTTCAATATTAATCAAATTAAACCTTCTAAAAATATTTAATCCAGACCTATTTTATAATTATTATTATTATTATAATATTTTTCTGATAAACGAATACAACCATTTTTAACTTTTATAAATACCATTTATAAAAGTAATTATATTTATTTTGTAATTTAATCAAATTGTAGCAAATGCATTGTGATTCCGTTAACTAAATTTAGCACTCCATTATAAATAAGATTAAATTTAGTTTTCGATTATTGATTATATAATGACATTTTTTCTTTTGTAAACACATCTGAAAATGTATTTGGTAAAAATACTTGACATTTTTTATGTAATATAACAACTTTTGTCTTACCATTAATTGTGTCAATATATTTGAAACAAGTAACCTCATATTTTTTTCCTTTTTCTAAATCACATACTTTTACAAACTCATATTGATCATTGCATTAATTTAAGTGTTTTTAAATTTTCCATTACTATTTATTAAAAAAAAAAAAAAAAATTATTTTAAACAACTATTTAAATTAGATTTATTCCATCCAATAAATTTTTGATGGAACATAAAATAATTTGTAATTGATTTGAGGATTATTGTTATAGAAAAATATACCTACTTTCTATTGGTAAATGGTAATACTTCAATATAACTATCAGGTAAAACTAATCTATATTTCTTATCTAATATATTTGATATTCAATATTAAACATTGTTATATTATAAGTTTGTGCTTCTTTTAAGTCACACAATTTTACATATTTATATTCATATTTATTATAACATTCCCAAAGTGTTTTCAAATTTGCCATTACTATTTTTTATTATAAGAAAAATAATAATTTTTTTTTAACATCTTAAGTCTAATGTAAACATCGAACTTTTAACGTTGTTACGTTGTTCTGTTAGACGTTGGATGTTATTACGTTGGATGTTAAAAAAAATATTTTCTAATAGAAATAATAGAAATTGAAAATATAAAAGCATTTTTAAATATGATTAAATTTATTGAAAACGAACTACAAGTTACAACAACCTGTGAACGATAGTGATCATGATGAATATTATTCTAATGAAAGTTTATATATCATAGTAAATTACAAAACATTTATCAAAAGATTTAATAATGAACTAGAAACAGAAAAACGACGAGGAAGACTATACAAACATTAAATGAATAACAAAAACATTGAATGACTGATTATCTTACATAATATAGTAATAATATATATATATGTCAAACGCTTTGATATTTTTTTTAATGTTTCGATGTTAAAAAATAAATATATTTACTAATATAAATAATAGTTATGGAAAATATGAAAACACTTTTAAATGAGATTGAACAACTCTGTAAAAACTTAAAACGTCAAAGTCTCATCTTAAATGAAAATGTATGTATTAGTTTTAGGTTT